CTATTTTTTGGTTGTAGTTGTCATTGTTGTTTGGCAGGCCTGGGCTAGATTCAAACCTGCCAGCTCCAGTGTATGTGGCTGGCACCCTAGCTGCTAAGCTACAGGCACTGAGCCTATATTTCTGTTCTTATAGTGGCTAACTTTTTCTTTTTGGCTGGGGCTGGATTTGAACCTGCCACCTCCGTTATATGGGGCCGGTGTCCTACTCCTTTGAGCCACAGGCGCCGCCATAGTGGCAAACTTTTAATTTTACTATTTATACTTAATTGAATCTAATCATAATGTAACCCTGTAGACAATATTATTTTTATATTTAAGCTACTGATTTTAAACATGTTCCTGCGTCATCTGAGTATTTAATTAGTGGCTCACACCTGTAATCACAAGAACAGAACCAAAAAGATGTTATAGTGTTCAGGCTTGGGGCCCGTTGCACAGTGGTTATGGCACCAGCCACATGCACCAAGGCTGGTGGATTCAAACCTGGCCCAGGCCTGCCAAACAACAATGACAACTGCCACAAAAAATAGCTGGGCATTGTGATGGGAGCCTGTAGTCCCAGCTACTTGGGAGGCTGAGGCAAGAGAATCACTTAAGCCCAAGATTTGAAGTTGCTTTGAGCTGTGACACCATAGCATTCTACTGAGGGTGACATAGTGAGACACTGTCTCAAAAAGAGAAAAATAAAAGATGTTTGTGTTCAACAATAAAACAGGTAGTTGTTACTATTTTTTTTTTTTTTTGGTGGTCTTCTTCCTACTTCTTTTGGTTTATTTAAGTCAGTTTATCTTTTCTTTTTTTTTTTTTTTTTTTGAGACAGAGTCTCACTTTGTTGCCCTTGGTAGAGTGCTGTGGCGTCATAGCTCACAACAGTCTGGAACTCTTGGGCTCAAGTGATCCTCCTGCCTCAGCTTCCCAAGTTGCTGAGACTATAGGCACCCGCCGCAACACTCAGCTATTTTTATTGTTTATTTTGAGACCGAGTCTCACTATGTTGCCTTCAGTAGAGTGCCATGGTGTCCCAGCTCACAGCAGTCTCAAACTCTTAGGCTCAAGCAATTCTCTGGCCTCAGCCTCCCAAGTAGCTGGGACCACAGGGCCTACCACATTTCCTGGCTAATTTTTTTTTTTTTTTT